AATAACATAAAATAATATTTGTTTAAAATAATATATTTATTGAATTTTAATAATAATTTACAAAATAAAAGTTCTATAAATAAGTTTTAAAGTAATTAATCTGTATTTATTTTTTTAGATAACATTTTCGCAATTACCAAATAACATAACCAAATTATTAGTCCGATTAATACAAAAAATATCAATGATATGTCTAACAAAAAATACTGTACATCATTCAACTGTTTTGAGTMACTTAAAAGATGTTTAGCTCCACCATTCCTAATAACATATTCCACCCAGTAAACAGCTCGATCCAAGGGTTTCATTGGTTGATCTTTAAATACTTGACTCTGGGCCTTTGCCACCTCTTTATACCTAATTTATACCAATTATTTTAAGAATAAATTATGCAATTTTTTATATAATATTTACATATTATAACATGATTAACATACATCACATCCGTCAGTACTTCTTTGATGGCATTTTCTAACGATTCTTCAGTAATTTCTAAAAAACTTACAAGTTTACCATAACCTTTATCCTCAGCTATTTTCATGTTTAAATACTGGTCAGCAAAAAATGGTACTCCGACTATAGGTACTGCGTTATTAACAGTTTCTTCTATGCTGTGCAATCCTCCATGGGTTATGAATAGTCTAACGTTTGGATGTGCTATACAACATGAAACATAATATACAGCGTGTCCCGCGAGGATTTACCCATTTCGATACCTCACTAAATAATAGAGATATCAAAATTCTGGTTCTATAATGAGATTCACAGATAAGAACTACAATTATTTCATTTTCATGTTTTCGTAAAAATTAAAAAAAAATTTTTTATTTAACTATTTCCAAAAAAAATTAAAGATGGTCATTTTGTAGAGTTTATTTTTCTGAAAATATTGATGTTTCAAATTTTTATTTTCATTAATTTCCTGATTTTTAATATTTTTTCTAGTTTTAAAGAAATAAAATATTATTCTAACTAATAGGAACACGGAAAGTATTCGGCCGGCTGTATGGGAATGCGAGCGGCGCGGCACATGTTTGATAACATGACGGTGTTAAATAATTCCCAATTTTTCTCGAAATTAAAAATCAGGAAATTAATGAAAATAAAATGTTGAAACGTCAATATTTTCAGAAAAATAAACTCTGCAAAATTGCTATGGTCATTTTTTTTGGAAAAAATTAAATAAAAAAATATATATTTTTTAACTATTTTACTAAAAGATTAAAATAAATTAAAATATGAAATAATTGTAATTCTTATCTCCGCGAGTCTTATTACAAAACCAGAATTTCGATATCACCATTATTTCGAGAGATATCGCAATGGGTAAATCCTTACGGGACACTGTATATAAAGATATAAGATATAATTATACATTGCTATGTTATAATAATTTAATATATGCGTATACATAGGAGTATATACTACATATAAATTATAAATTAAAATTGTAGTATCATTGATTTTTTTTTATTTGCTTATTTCCTTCTTATTTTGTATTTCTAACATTTTTACCTAAAATATCATTTTGTGGAAACCATGAACCAGTCATAATGTTTTTAGGCAGCTTGACATTGCTATTAGGTATCCATTTTATAATTACATTTTGTTTTAATTTTCGGATAACACTAAGAAAAATTTTCAATTTTTCTTCTGGCAAGTCATTTAAATTCACTAACGAACCAAAACTGAAAAATATTACTCCTTCATCTGCAACATCTAAAAAAGTTTGAAGATTCTAAAACAAAAAACCCATAAAGATATTTAAAGAAGACTTCAAATTTTTACAACTTTTATACTTTTATAGTATAGTAATAATTGTAAATACCATTAGTAATACTTAAATCAGTTAGGTAAATTTATAACAATGTATAACTCGCCTCGGGTAGAGTATTCGGGGGTTTTATGTGCATTCCGCCCACTTCAACAACACCGGGAAGATACGGTCTAGCAACACCAATCGCAAAATTYGAGTTGACCAGCGTAAGGGACACATTTTTCAGCATGTGCTCGAGCGGAGGCCTGGACTCCCAACCTTCGTATGTGAAGTATGTGTTCATCACTTCCTTCATTTTAGGTAAATAAAAGTATTTTTCTGCATAAGACTGCATGAGGCCAGTTATGGTGTTTTTTAAACGGTCTACAAAACCCATATCGCTCCTTGATCTCAAACACGTGTCCGGTATGTACGAAAATGTGGAAGGGACGTGCAGCCATTTGCTAACACTGACCCAGGGCATCGCAGGTGCCAGATTTATGACGGGGGCGTTGAATTTGTGGCCCATGGTAACAGTGTACTCTTGACAGAACGTTTCGATCATGACCAAATCGAACGAATTCGAACTCGATTGAACAAACTTTTTCATGTTCTCGTGCGACATGACTAGATCGGACATTCTTATACCAAGACCCCATTTCAGTTGAACAGACGTWATAAAGTTCATGTACACTAATTCCATTACATTTCTTTCTGAAATACGATAATTAATTTAATTAATATAAAATCCAAATACCACTGACTTACTGATTGGAGGATTTTTCAAAATTTTGATTTTAAGGGAATAAAATCGGCAAAAATAAATTTTACGTGTAAATTGTACATCCATATAGTCGCATCCACATAGTGAAATCACACATTTCATGAACTGGATATCCAGATAGGTAGTGAAATTTGTCCAGATCGTGTATTTTGACGAAAATACATTATATCAATACATATATATACATTTATAATTATTATATTATGGTCAATGACCATACGGTTGTAAAAGGGTTCAACATCTGAAAGTAGTTAACGATGCAGCTGAACGTGGGATTTCGTTGATTCAAACTTTCAATGGGATAATCACAAATCAAGAAGAACAAAAGCAGTATCTTTTGCAAGTAGTTGAACAACACCGACAGAAGTATCCAAATCCAAATAAATCTACAATTGATGATTGACATTTTGTGTGATGATTATTTTTTATACAATATTATGACTTTTTTATATTATTTTTAATTATTAAATATATTTTTTTTTTATTCATACACTGAAATATCTATTATATTTTTAAAACAAGTTGCGCAACCAGTAAAAATTGAAATTTTTTCTTGAAATTTTTTATGAACGTTGTTATTAGATGGATAAACAATTTAAGCGGGTGGGACTTTCAGAAATAATTTTTTTTTTTTTATTGTCACCCTAATGGTCATCCATTTCATGAAATGGACAATACTTACCTATAGATTGTGTACTTTGTGTAATTATTATGAAACAAGTTTGTTATGTTATTTTGCAATAAATGAGTATACATATAATATCATAAAATTATATAATGTATTACTAAACTATAACTATACTTTTCTATATTGCTTTATGAAAAAAAATATTAATAAAATAATTAATTGATTAAATAATAATTAATGAAGTACATCTTTTTTCTTTATTATTTATTTTTACATGACGATTGACTTTTATATCGACTGTTACATATATTATTTTTAAARCAAGCACACCTACTTGATGGCAAGGAGTTTTTGGCTTACACGAATAAGGAAAAAATCCTTGTCCTCCTGAAATGTTTTTAATCATTTCTCACACCGAAAATTTAACATTTTTATCAACTTGATTAGCAGTGAGAAATTGAGTTGAACCCSTAAATCCCCCTCCACTCATATACGTTCTTGGGCTATCTAAATCAGTAATCRATTAAGCGTAATAAAGATACCTACATATAACATACGGGCATACATTATGTTATATTTCGTATCAGTTGTCAACGATTATCATGATTAAACCATTGAGTGATAAAAAATACCTGACAAATACATTTGGTTTATGTTTTAAATTTATTTTTTTGGCTATACATAAGTTATTTGTATTAACTTTTATTACTTTTATTACTATTAACTTTTATTTTATTTATTGGAGGAAAATGGCTACGGCCGTCCAAATAATGCATTTTCGTCAAAGTTCATAATCTTGATATCCTGTTCATGAAATGAGTGATTTCACTATGTGGATGTGACATGCRTATTGTTTTTAGTGTGTTTATATATAACAAACTATTAAAAAAATATAACAGTAGTCAGTAGGCTGATCACGTTTGGTGCACGTGTCCTAGGGAAATGTCAATATTATTAAATCTTCWATATATAATTATTTTATTATTTTATRTAATATCTATATATATAAAAATTTCGTGTCACGATGTATGTTYGCGATAAACTCCGAAACCACTGAACGGATTTTGATAAAATTTCGTAACCATTTATAATATGGTTCAACTTAAAAGATAGAATAGTTTTTATTCAATATTTATTATTATTATTTATTATTAATAATATGTGGCGAGCGCCGTGAATATTTTGGAACGGTCACGCCGCGTGGCAGGTAGCTATTGCCGTGGAAATTGATATTTATTTAATAAATAATATTTATAAAAAAATATTCCAGGTGGAAGTTCTAGACTGTTCGTACATTTATTTACATTTATTATTAATTTGTAATTTACCTACACACCAACCATAAATACTTTGTATTGTGTTATTATTGTGCAGTGTTTAGTATTAAATATTCTTTAATATTTTTTTAAATTTAGTATAATGCCGCGGAAATCTAACTTTAACAATCAGTATAGGTAGTAAAAACGCACGACGTGTGCGTGGTGCTAATAGAGCTCATGAATCGGAAGAACAAATTGTAGCAAGAAACGCAGCTCAACAAATCAGAACAGCATAAATTCGCAGACAAGAGTCTYGAGAACAGCGTGATGAACGTCTACGRCAAAATACATTGAGAACAAGATCAGCGCGAGAACGGCACATTTAGAGAACGCGACAGAGAGCGACAACAACAACAACAATACAACTGATCCAGCGTTGACATCCACACTGAATAATATTCGTCAACTGTTTGCAATAATTTTGAGATTTTGACAACATGTTTTCCAACAAAATCATCGACTCTGTGGGAAAAATATAAGAATTATATGACTGAAGATAAACTGCAWCGAATTAGACGAACAAATCAACGTCCAAATTTCACACCCGAGACGTATTTATAATGAAGCATTAGCGTTGATCGAAGATTTATGTATTTTAATTTCAAATTAGCCACTTGGTCATTATGGAATGCTATTACCTGATCGCCCAGCTGCCGACTTAGTTAACACTGATTTGCCACTGATTTGCAACGAGAAAAACAGTAYAATGACGTTTATTTAGCTACAATTATTGTGAATAATGAGCCATTACTGACAGCCGAACAAAAAAATATTTATGATCGGATAATGCTGACCGTTGATGCTGACCAAGGTCGGTTTTTTTTCTTAGACGCACCAGGTGRAACAGATAAGACATTCTTAATATCATTAATTCTTGCAAAGACACGTTCCCAACAGAAAATTGCTTTGACAATTGCATCGTCAGGCATTGCTGCAACTTTGTTAGATGGTGAACGAACAGCACATTCAGCATTGAAGTTGCCATTAAACATTCATAACAAACCAAACGCTATGTGTGACATTAAAAAAAAAAAACGGAATGGCTACAGTGTTGCAAAAGAGTGCAATAATAATTTGGGATGAGTGTACTATGACTCATAAACATTCACTTGAAGCTTTTCATAGAACTATGCAAGATTTGAAAGGCAACAATAAACATTTCGGTGGTACTGTTTTAGTTTTACTATACTGTCCGGTGATTTCCGGCAGACTTTACCAGTTATTCCTCACTCTACTTTTGCGGATGAGATCAACGCATGCTTAAAACAATCGTTTTTATGGACAAGTGTTGAGACACTTCGACTGACTATGAATATGCGAGTACAATTGCAAAATGATCCATCGGCACAAGTATTTTCTAGACAATAATTGCTGGATATTGGAAATGGTGAAATTGAGTTGCATCAAAATACACAATACATAAAATTACCAGATATTTTCTGCACTGTGGTTGAAACGAGAAATGAACTAATTGAGAGTGTCTTTCTGAATATATTGAATTATTATTTAGATCACAATTGGCTCTGTAATCGTGCTATTTTGACACCAAGAAACGTTGATGTGAACGAAATTAACTTCCATATACAAAAGATTTTGTCCGGTGATTTGATGTCTTTTAAATCAATCGACACAGTTATTGATGAAAACGAAGCCGTAAACTTTCCATCTGGATTTTACAGGAATGCCACCACACAATCTTCAATTGAAAATTGGTTCACCAATTATTATTTTACGTAATTTAAACCCCCCTCAATTATGTAACGGTACACGTTTAGTCATAAATAAAAGACCGAAAATATTCTCGAAGCAACRATTTTGACGGTAAAATTTAAAGGAGATATCGTCCTGTTGCCACGTATTCCACTGATAGTGTCAGATCGAATATCCAATACCGTTTAAAAGGCTCCAATTTCCGATTTGTTTAGCATTTGCAATGACCATAAATAAATCTTAAGACCAAACAATGTCTATTTGCGATTTGGATTTGGTAAACACATGTTTCTCCCATCATGGACAGGTATATGTTTCCTGCACACGTGTAGGAAAACCATCAAATCTCTTCGTGTTAGCGAAAGACAGGTTAACCAGGAATGTTGTACACAAAGTAATACTTAGATMATTTTTAGTTTTAATAATTTAAAATTTAAAAAATTATAGTTCGACGTCAATGTTATCTACCTCATTTAAAACAGTTTATTTTATGTTTTTAATGTATATAGTATATTTTGTAAGTAAATCACTGATTACAAACAAAAATTTAATATAAGATAATAAAATGTAAATTCAGAAAGTATATAATATGTTGGTTTGTGCTTAATTTCAACATTTCGATACTTTACCTATTACTTTTAAATTTTGGCGAAACGTTTTATTTTCAATCTCATATGAATAAATCTATTTTAATTTTTTTTTTTTAAATATTAATTTGATTGTACCAAAGATTTAGTAAGAAATTGATTTAATGTATTATAATTACTGAGCCACAGCAACACGTGGCTGGGTCATCTAGTATTTTATAAATGTTAAGTGTTATCTTGTCCGATAATTATTGTACATATTATTTTTTATATTATTATCACAGAATAAATTAATAATTTATCTATTGGYGTTTGCGATTTAAACAATTTTTTCTAACATCAAAAAGCTACACTACCTCACGGATCTATAAACTATTATAAACTATATATTATCTTGATAAGTGGCCATTAATTTTTTTATTGAAAATTTGATATTTATTTTTTATAGAAATAATATTATAATAGATATATAATAATAATAAATGTATTTTTTGCAAGTTACTATTGGTTATACAACTTAGTATGAATGAATAAGAAATTAGCAATTTGTTATYAGGTACTAATTTTAAAAATTGTTTCACCTTCACAAAGCTATAAATGCGATGAAATATTATGCATGAATATAATATTAACACTGTATTTTATATGTCTGTGTTAAAAATCACTTATGGATATTAATTTAGGGCAAGTCCACGGGAATTCGTTAAGGGAAGTTTTGAATATCGTTAGCTACGCCGGGTGATCAACGACGAATTAAACACAAAGTTTGAAGTATTTGTAGCCTGTATTTTTAACAGGAMACGAAGTGCACGGGGATCAGCTAGTTAATTATTATAATAATTAAATAGAAAAACACTCATTATCAATAACGGAACTACTAGAATTTCAGTTACGAATTATGTGTTCTTGAATCTTGATCATCATCGTTATTTAAAAACAAAATATAACATTAAATGATTACGTATATATTATTATTAAACGATTGATCAAATGAACTGATAGTACCTATTGTATATATTATAGTATCTGTTGTATATACAATGCTACTAATTACATATAGGTACCGGGTGATTCTTTTATCATTGATCACTCATTATTTCAAAAATTATTAATGTTTTTGAAAATATTATTTTACATAGTTTCAAGTTGTTAAAAAACCAACGTTTTTAATAAAAAATTATATTTTTAAATATTTTATATCCTTATAATTTTTTAAGTTTTTTACTTTTTTGAATGACAACATAGAGTT